GCACAGGCAAGTGCCGCTTTTCCTCGTGCCATGGCTCTGGAGCACACACGTCAGGAGCAAGATTGGCTTCGACCCCCCTTCAGTTTGAGCATGATTGGCAACAAACGATTGTCACAGCCTTCCCTTGACAACAAACATGGAAGATTCTGCGTTGATGCAAAAACCAATACTCTCAAGAATCACTCGATCACGCCAAAGCTACCAATTCAATATGCGCCTGCCCATGGGTTCCAAGTCGATCTTCCAAGAACTCCAAAACCTCTGAGACAAGCTTCAAGTCAGATGGCACGGACAGCAGCCACCTGTCACTAGCACTTCAATCTGACGGGACTGCATACGTGAAGGAATCAACTGGATAAGGAAAACCCCCAGGTCTTGCCTGCTGTCGCGAAGCTGAGAGGCCAAAGGCCCACATGGTCTTCTATTCATCGCTGTGGTTCCAAGCTTGATTGCTTAACCTTTTGAGTGAGTGAATCTATGTGAATCCCAGGTTCCACAGCTATGTCACTCTCTCTCTCTCTCTTATTTTTTGTGTGCTTGCGCTCCGGCTAAACCAAAATGGCTCATGAATCCTCTCTAGCTGGGCAGAACATGCCTGAGCCAAGGGGGCACAGTCAGGTGTGTTTACACATCTTCTCAAAACAAATGGGTACAAACGGGTAAAGCACTTGGAAAAAAAAAAAGCCTCACTGACTCACTACACTACACCCTGCGCGCGCCTTTTTGACAATAATCTTGGAATACAAATGTCCATCCTGCTGGCACTATAGCGTAGAAACAACGTGAAGGCATGTGTGTCCCTGACCCTGTGACTAACATATCCCTATATATATATATATATGTGTGTCTGTCTGTGTGTGTGTATGTATTGGATAAACTGACAGCATGTTGTGGTTGAGATAGATGATGTGTACTGCGCTTTCCTTGGGTATCACCACGGTCCCGGCAAAGCCGCCCCTCAAGAAACCTACTGATGGCTTGATTCTTCTGTCGCTTCTGTCAGGGGATGCTTCTTCAGTCTAAATGCACCCAGTGATGTGATGAAATTGGCAGAAGATTCCAAACCATCATGGCCATCCAGCAGCCTCCAGCTGCACTTAGAAAGCTGGAGCGATTTGAGCTGCTCGGTTCACAGCTTTCGCTGAATTGGAAGCTTATACACATCCTGACCACTTGAATGTGGTGCCATGTCAGCAGGCTCTCCAAGCAATGCTTGCTGCGGACATGAGACTTGCCACTGCCATAGCTATGGACCCTTCTGCTCTCCATTGCGCCCTGGTTACACATTCTCACCCGAGACATATTCCTCTCGGATCTTCTTCGTGGTGATGGTCATACGCTTGCAGCTCTGCAATCTCTTTATGTCCACGAGTCATAGGAAGCGGAAACCAATGAAACCCAATTACATCTAATTACTTTATTGATCTAATATGAGGGACGCCCCAGGGTCTTTCAACGGTTGTTTCATTCTTTCAGCTTCCCGTTTTGCGGCTTTGCGGCTGGTGTGCCCTCAGATCAATTGGTTAAGCTTCAAAGCACCACGATTGTGGACTTGGGCATTTGTTCCAGCCTTGCCTGCAGGCTCCAAGACACCTAGGTGCAGGCCCATTGGGTGTGGTGTTTGCCGGAAATGACATCACCCACTATGTTGGCTATGCACGGGCTCTCTGCTATCCAAGAAACCCATCCTGATGGCTTGAACTTTGGCCTGCATGCATCAGCTTAACGAGAGTTATTATGAATGACATTGCCGCTATGCTGAAGAACTTGGAGCTCACTTGCTTCCCAGACCTTCTTCCTGGCTTTCAGCTCACCTGGTCAGAAAGCTCAACTCAAGTAGCTCCATAGTGGAATCAAGGGCAAGAGGGGAAAGATCGACAAATATTAAATAGTATTCTATAAATAAATATATATTGTGAAGCTCGCAAGCTGTGTGGTGACTGTCTCACGCGGTTCTCCGTTGGTTCAATCCACCAAGAAGGGTGGGCGGGCGGACATCATTACGTCACGGAAAAGCGAGGTCGCTTCGTTAGGTGAACAGGGTTTCACGGAAGGTTGTTGACTAACTCCAGTGTGAGATTAACATTGGTAGCGGAGCCTCCGCAAGGAGGCATAGGTTCCTTTTGGGGTGGTTCCCTTGAGAGCAATTAACCTCGGCGGGTGTGCATTTCATTCAATTTGTTTTGTTGCAAGACATTTTACCATCCATCAATTGGTGAGCCATGGCTGGGGCTGAAGGAAGCCAGACGGAAGAGAAGACTGGACACATCTGGAGTTTGCTTCCGGGATTTGATCCCGCCACAGACGATCCTCGAGAATATGCTGACAAGATTCGTTTCTTACACTCCATCTGCCCAGTCAAGGACAGACCTATGCTGGCTCCAAGGCTCGCCCTTTTGATGAAGGGCACGGCCTGGGCCCAAGTCAAGGCCCTAGATGGTGAAAAGCTCTCCGACCCAAACGGTGGCATCAAGCTTTTACTACAGACGGTAGCTGATTGGGAGGACTCAGCTGAACTGCAAACCTATGAAAAGTTTGAGCGTGCACTGTACAAAGTGACACAGAAACCAGACGAGAGTGTGTTCTCCTATGTCAATCGAATGAGCGTGGCATTCGCTGAGATCAACAAGGTGACGGTCCCTGAGATCAAAGCATACATAATGCTACGTCAGAGTGGACTCAGTGCCGAGGACAAGAAAAGAATCTTGGCAATGTGTGGAGGAGAACTTCGTGCAAAGAAAGTGGAGGATTCCATGAGACAGCTCGCTCCACGGGTCCTGGTTGGTAGCTCCGGGACAGAACCAAAGAAAAAGGTCTATGCGGTCAACTTCGTGGATGACGATGAAGACCAGCCGACTCCGGCCTATTTTGCTGATGAAGACCATCCAATGGATGATGAGCTGGGAATCCAAGTTTTGATGGAACAAGGAGATGAAGATGCTTTGATGATCACGGAGTTCGAAGACCAGTTGATCGAGGCTTGCCAGGACAATGCTGACTTGAGCATGTGCTTCTCGGCATACACCGAGGCACGCGGCCGGGTCAGAGAAAAGATTCGTTCCCGCGGCTTTTGGCCACCAATCAAGGGAAAAGGCAAACAGAAGGGTTCGAAGAAAGGAGCTTGGAATCCAAAAGGGGGGTTCCGCAAACTACAGTCGTTGGCAGACCGGATTGCCAACTCCCATTGTCGACTATGCGGTGCTCGTGGACATTGGCGTCAGGAGTGCCCGAACAAAGGGAATGCAGGAAGTGTCAATGCCTCCTCGGCGGAGATCCATGTGCCGACCTTGGTGGGAGACGGCCCAGGAGATGGAGACCCTGAAGTGGTGGAACGGCTGCCGATCTCACTTGAGCAAGCCCTACCTGAGTGGTGGCCCGTGTTCAACTTGGAGGGCATGATTCCGAAGAAGACGAATGAGACGATGTCCGAGACCAACTTTGGCAAGAATTCTTCATGGACAGCAGACGACCGCCAGGTTGGGATCATGTCAGAGCCCACAAAATTTTGTTGGGATTCTAAAAGAGAAAGCCGTGTTAATGAATAATTCATTTTTGCTGCTCTGTCTTTGAGAGACATGAAACAGACGTTGAAACGGGGGGTGAAAAAACTGGGGAAACGTGTCAGGAGTGATTCACCACCTCTTGAGCCGGTGTTTTTTGTAGACCACGGAAGCATAGCTATCCTTGATACTGGAGCTAGTAAGTCTGTGATTGGAAAAAGGAGACTAGAGCAGCTGATCATCAGTTTGCCGCAAGAGTTTGCACGAAAGATCTCATGGCAGAAGTCTGAGACCATTTTTCGCTTTGGGAATAATGGGACTCTCTCAAGTTTAGGAGCAGTGTTCATGCCATTTGGTAAGGGTTGGCTAAAGATTGAAGTGGTTGATGGAACCACTCCTTTCCTACTCTCCAATGCTTTTCTGAAAGCTGTGTCGGCGGATATCTGCACTTCGAAGCGCTTGCTGTGCATGTTTCATGGAAAGGTAAGTGTTCCTTTGACTGTGAGTAGTAAGGGATTGTTTTTGGTTGATTTGTTGCTGATTTTGAAACATGCGAATCAATTAGAGCGGAATGAAGGAAACTGGGAGGTCGTGACTAATTTAACTGATGAAACTCAACCAAGAGAACTGTCGGACCGACAACACACGGAGACAAACATGGCCTTGACAGCAGACATTCCACAGTCACACAATCCTCCAGCAGCAACTCGAGTGTCAAGCAAGCGCGAACAATTTCCAGCCAGCTCCAATCACGATGGCGCCCAAGAAGGTGATCACCGCCTACACCTACGGAGAGACCATGGATGCGCCCCTGGCATTCCCGGAGGATGCCACGCTGGCAACGATTCCATCGAGCAGCGCCGCCACCATTGTCAAACCACCGGGAGTGATGACCCTGAGGCAATGGGGAGAACAGACCATGGGAGGAGGAAAACATGCCGGAAAGACCTTTGCCGAGATTCTGGCCATCGATGCGAGCTATGTCGAATTCATGAAAAAGAAGAGCGATTGCACCTCAGCATGGGCTCTGAGCTTCCACAACTATGCACTGGCTGTCGAGAAGATGAACAAGCCGGAACCGATGGGAGCTCGCCAACAGGTGTTGACTCCCCAGATGATCAAGAAGACAAAGGAAGAGTGGAGTCGACAGGGAGCCATTATGACCGACTGGGATGTGATCGACGAGCTGAAGGATCATCATGGCTCGGAAGTTCCACAGGGAATCACATCTTTGGCAAGTGGACCCATGATGGGAAAGAGAATGACACCCACCAGCGAAGACCACAAGAAGATGCAGGTGGACATGGAGAAGGAGACCCGCGACCATGTGAATCAAATTCAGACTCAGATCGCGATCTTGCAGCGAGAGCTGACATTCTTGATGCCAGCCGAAGATTCATGAACAATTCGATAGAGAAGTCGAGTTATGATGATGACCAAGTCTCGACGGAAGTTCACAACAGTAGAGACACTCCTATCTCAAAATTCTATGCCCAGGAGTTATCTAATCTGGTGGAGAAATTTGAGCTTCAGTTAGAAGAATTGGCACACCACTCGGCTGACATCCGGACACGACATTCAGCACCACGATTTCCCAAATCGAAGGAGAGATTGGACATCCTGGAGATTTACTGTTTCCCAGATTCCCAACTCACCCAGACCGCCCGCCAGTTGGGCCTCAAGGCCAGAAGATTCACACTCCAGGATGGTGATCTCAGAACCCCAGAAGGCCAAGAACGGCTATGGCAGATCATTGAAACACAGCGTCCCAGACACATTTGGGCATCACCTGACTGCAAACTCTGGGGCAACTTTGCACGACGGAACATGGGAAGAAGCAAACAACTGAGAACACGAATTCTGGACGGGAGAAAACACGAACGACCTAACCTCCCGTTATGTGAAGAGGTTTACTTGTACCAAGTAGAACATGGTAGGCATTTCCATCTTGAACAACCGGTCGGTTCTGAACTGTTGCTTCAACCTGAGCTAGAACAGACCAGGTATGGGACTCTCCCAACGATTTTTGACATGTGTGAGGTTGGAAAGCTGAACTGGAAGGGGGAACCCCTACAGAAGAGAACCATTGTTTTGACGACCTCCCGAACATTGCATGGTGCATTGGACTGCCGGTATTTTTGCAAAACACACGAACACAGGCAGATTGCAGGCCAGGTGAAACACAGCGGTGAATGGATCTCGCTGTCATCTTTTGCAGCAAAGTATACCGCAGGCTTTGCACGCACCGTGGTTCGAGCATTGCAGAGAGTTTCTACTGAAGCTCCACTGCTCCAAGAAGAACTTAAGATTTCGACTCGGGGAGAAACGATAGATGCAGTGCTTGTTGGTGAGGCTCTCAAACGAAGACGTTTGATATCGAAACAAACAGTGAGGGAATTAGGAAACGAAGAAGACGACAGGGATGACCAGAGCAAACAACATGTACAAGGTAGATTGAAGGACCTTTTTGGGGAACTAGAAGGACTGGCACCCAGGGTTGGTTCGATTGTGATTGACCCGAAGAACACCACCTTTCAGAGGGCACAAGGTTTCTGTTCGTTCAAAATGGTTCATGCTGAAGTTTGTAGAGGGACTGAACGGTTGCGGATTCCCAAGGTTGGTACTCCCCTGAAAGACTTGGAGGTGAGAAAGACTTACTCGTTGAGTAGGAGTTCAGGGACCATTGAACAAGTAGGTGATGAGGAGGAATGGCAGCGTCTGACCCAGAGACAACGCATTAGAAAGAGAATCCCTTCACGTCTGACTCTCACAATGTTTGGTACAAGAAACATGTCAACAACGGCGTCTTCATCAACCTCATCGAAATCTGTTTTGGATGAGGATGAGGACATGCAATCCGGAAGAGAGAAACGAAAGACGGAAACGGAACCAGACATGAAACCAAAACGGATGAAGGGACTGTTGGAGGACCAGGAGGAGCTAGTACAACCATCAAAAGAAGATCAATCGGTTCTTGAGAAAGAGGAAATCGAACCAGAGATCGTAGGACGGCCTCCAAGAAACCTCGCCAGACATGGTCCAGCATTTTTGGTGTTGAAAGATGATCAACAGAAATGGTTGAAACTGGTACATCACCGGCTGGGACTCCCTGACCCCGATACATTGACCCGGTACCTTCGGTCCACGAATGCAGAGCCGGAACTGGTTGAGGGGGCGCGAGATTTTCAATGCGACGCCTGTTCAGAGTCCAGGAAAGGCTTTGATTTGCCTCAGGCTGGAGCCATCCATGAGAACTTAGGATTTAACGACACGGTTGGGATGGATGGATCACACTTCTCTTTTGCGCATTTGAT